AATGTGACAGTGGAAAAAACTGTGATATTAACCTGTAATCATAAGAAATAATAAAAACATGTAATTGCTGGAGGCGTGAATGACGGTGGAAAAACCAGAATTCATGTTTTGAATGATGAGTGACGTGTAGCGTACTATGTTTTTTTTTTTTTTTTGGAACAAGTGCGAATGTGAGAGGAGTGCAGAAAATTTAGATTACCATTTTGAAACATTGTAGCACCGTGCAACATATCAGAAATCGAAGGGAAAGTGTTCGTAGCACCGTAGCAGACGACAAAGATGTTTTGTTGGGTAGTGAACGAAGAAGAAAACGGAAACAATGGAGGAGAGATGAAAAACGGAAGAAAAAACAGAAGAAAAAAACGAAGAAAAGAAAATCGAGGGATTTGGAGAAGAGAACGGAAACAATGAAGGGAAAGTGTTCGTAGCACCGTAGCAGACGACAAAGATGTTTTGTTGGGTAGTGAACGAAGAAGAAAACGGAAACAATGGAGGAGAGATGAAAAACGGAAGAAAAAACAGAAGAAAAAAACGAAGAAAAGAAAATCGAGGGATTTGGAGAAGAGAACGGAAACAATGGAGGAGAGATGAAAAAAATCATTTTTGAGGGATTTGGGGGGAGAATTAAGGAATTTAAATTGAGATAATATCTATGGGGCCACATTTATTAAATGATTTTGATATTAATTTATGGAAATAACAATTTTATATTTCAAAAAATCCAAATCCATTAATAAATGAAAATGCAATCAATAGGGGTAAATTCGGAATTAAATGAAAATCCTACTGCAGAAATCTAAAAGTGTAAATTTATAGAAATTTAGACATTTATGTAAATAAGTTTCTAAAACAGCCCTCCGAAGAGGCACCCTATTGATTTAGAAAGTGGTCAAAATGTCTAAATTAATCACCCAGGGGTCAGAATGGTCGGGAAAAGAGGCACCCCGCAGCCCAGAAGAAAATAGCCAGTTCTTCAAAATCCTTCCAAGAAACTCGTTCTTGCAACTCGGTCAACAAGGACAAAATGAGATGGCATATGTTAAGTTCCATTCCCATCTCCATTTTGTTGACAAGAACAAAATGTCTCACATTTACACTCAAGAAGCTTAAACGGGGATCCCATTTAGGATGGATATCCATGAGAAAAGTATCATCCCTAATAAATGTGTTTGTTGTTATTATTATTTTTATTTTAAGTATAACAAATTGGGGGAGAGTTTGAATCTCCTACTTCAAACAAAATGGTGGATACCAATCGCTATTCTCATATTCTCATATTCCAATGCCAACTTTTGTAAAATATAAAAACATGTTTATTCAAAAAGTTGAAAATTTTGAATAACTTTTGTAATTTAACCTAAAAAATAATTAAATGTCAACAAAGATGTTTAAACTATATATTTTTCTTGACAAATTCTTTTCAGAAATAAGACACTTTTTTTTACAGGTAGAAACAAGACACTTCTTATTATTTACCAGAATTTTATTTTTTAACATAAAAATGAAAACAGATAACAAACCAAATAGAACTTTAAAAAAAAATTACCAAACACCTAAAATATTTGGGGCAAAATTCTGAATTAGATTCCTCCAACTACTAAATTCAAAAAGAAACATCATTCAGAGCAACCTCATCAAGACAGGCATTCAATTTAATTTTTCTTGAGATTACTTATCAATCTCCACAATACAGATACAAATTTTTCATAATTTTTCTTGAGATTACTTATCAATCTCCCAAAACTTCAGAACTGGCACAAGTGAACAAGAAACTAAAAGCATACAAGCTTTTAATCATGTATTATAATAAAATGCCTAATACAGTATTACCTAAATTAGATTGCAATTCCACAAAAAAAATTGCCAACCTCAACATAACGAATAAACTTAGGCCGTAGATCCGTAAAATTCGAATCCCGATCCCTGGTTGATCTGAAACTCTCCAAAAAGAAAAACAAAAAAGCCTTAAATTTATCAACTGATGAATGACTTAAACAGAGCAGCTGAGGAGACATGAAAACAAGGTAGAAAAGATAAATACATTTGAAAATGGTAATCTGCATCTTATCTTATAGCTTGCCCAGACACAAATCCAATGAACAAAAAATGAAGGTTTGAAGAAACTTGAAAATACCTTTTTTCAAGCCTCAGATTGAGAAGGCAACTGCAGAGTTCACACACAATGGAAGTGTACATCCAAGGCAGAAAAGTGAAGTTTTTCTTGGAACAAACAGGCATCATGAATAAGACTGATATAACAAAAAGTATCCAAAACTTGACTAAGCTGAAGGATTCTAGTAGCATACAAAGATGTATTATGTCTACTAATAAAGATAAATATTATCAAAATTGAAAAAAAAAAACAATTCAACTGCAACTCAATTCTCCAATATCCCTGTTTCTGAGATCAAATCACAAATTAGTATTTGATAGGAGCAATAACTTCAAGTTGGGAACCGAGCTTCTCCTCAGCAACCTTCTCGGCTTTAATCCTTAGCTTATTTAACTGCTTCTTTTTCTCATATGAAGCCTGAGCTCTCTCCTTTCTCTTCCTCTCAAGTTCCTGCATTGGAATAAGTTATCAAAATGTAAGAAATCACATTACTAGTGAAAGGAAAGGAAATAAAGAAAAAAAGTAGCAGTACACATTCCAAACAGGGAAAAATAACCAGTGTTTAGAATTGCTAGATTGAATTGGGGCGAGGTGCATACACGCCAGATCCAGATACTATATCTAATCATAACAGGTGTTTCATAATAATAGTTCCAAAGATTTCCCATTTTCATATTTGCATAAACAGGTACATAAACAAGTGATAGATGCTTTTATTCATAGGTGCAAAATGATTACACATGAGGGGGCAAAATGGAAGCAATATACATACACAATTAAACAAATGTATATATATATATATAACTTGCATAAAAAAAACCAAGACTATAAATTGAAATTCAGAGTCGGGGATCACCAATAAGAAGAGAACATAAAATCAATGAAAGGCATTGAAAAGGGTTAACATTTGACGCCCAACGAGCATGATAAGCATTTATTGATACAAAGACAGTATCATAAGTTTCAGCCATTTACGGTTAAAATCAGCCAACCACAATTTAATTCCACTCCAAACAGCAGTTTGAACTCGTAACAATATTGACAATGAAATCCATTGAGCCATAGTTCACTAATTTCAATAAAAACAGATAGTCATCCATGGCATTCTCACCTTGATGGTATCATAATGGTTCCATCCAACCTCCGAAGAAAGTCTGCCCAACAAGCAGTACTTATGGCCGGCTTGAAGCCTCAAGACCCTGAATTCCCAAAGAAACAGAACCAATTTGTGAATACAAGAATCTCATAATTAGAACCAAAAAGAAACATCATAACCATAAACTTCTCAAACACAGCTTGCTTACTTAAGAGCATCAGGAATGACCATCCTCTTCATCTTATCATACGGGGGAGGAACACCCTCGTACGCCTTCAAACGGGCAAGAGCAGCAGCTCCACGCTTAGTCTTATGGGGAATCATCCTATAAAACCCAAATCAAACAAGTAAACAAAGGACGCCAACAGAAACGAAGAGGATTCGAAAAATCGCAACGAAATCAGAGGAAGAAAAGACAGTACCCACGAATGGTACGCCAGATGATCTTGGCGGGGGCACGGAAGTGAATGGGGCCATGGGAGGGCTTGGTGTTCATCCGCTTCCTCAAGAACCTCATGTACTTCATCTTCTGGCGGACCAATCCGCCGGAGATGCAGATCTCCTCGCACCTGACGAGCACAACCTTTTGGCCATTGAGAAGCTCCTTGGCGACGATCGAAGCGAGCCTTCCCAACATGTGGTGCCTTGCGTCCACCACGACGCGCTTCGCACAGATACCGGAACCGGACACCATTTTCTTCCTCTTCTTCTTCTTCTTCTTCTTCTTGTTTCTGCTGCTGCTACTGCTCTGAGCAAGAGCCTCGAGCTGCCGTCGTCTTCTTCGTCTTTGAGAAAAATGAGTCTGCAACAGAAGGAATTAGGGTTTTTCAAGCTTAATGTATGGGGGTTGTGAGGAATTGGTTGGATCTTATTGGGCTATCGTTTTGGGCCTACTTTTTCATGGGCCTGTCTTAGGGCCGCTTTTTTTTACGATTTTTTTAATTAATACGATATATTTTAAATAATGAGATGGTTTCGAGAATATTTTTAGAAAATAAAAAGATTTCAAAAACAAGGAATAAAATAATAAAATGGGTATATGTTTGGTAGACCTAAATTTTAAACTTATTCAAACTACATAATATTAATATAAGTTTTATGCAGTTTTTCCTATTTAAAAAAATTCTTGAAATGAAAACGATAACTACATTAAAACATTTTAATTATTTTGATGTAGTTTACTTAATAATTTTTAATATTTATTAAAATATTAAGATTGCTTATTCAAATGCGTATTATATTATTTTTCAAAAAAAAATTACTTAAGAATAAAAAAGTAATGTAGTTACAAATTCTCATTCTTACATCTAAAAAAGTAACTATTTTCACGATGAAATAAAATAAAATAAAATACACTTAAATCATTGAGAATCTGTATAGCTAAATTAGGAAGATATAATTGAATTATTCCTTTTTTCCAAAAAAAAAAAATATACACACTGAAATTACTATTTTAACCATATTTTTATCATTTACTATGTCATAACGATTTAAAGTTTACAAAATTTAGAACATATTTCAAGTCCTTGTATTTTTCCCAGACAAAATAAACCTTTAAATTGAAACATAATTTAATCAAAACTTAAGTAAAAGCCCATTGTTCAAAAGTAGAATATCAAACAAAGAAATCACATCAATAATATCTTAAATGTCAAGGGCATTACACCACCTTATACTACTGTTTGAATTGCAGAACTGGTAGAGTTCCACCATTTTTCTGAAGATGGAAAGCAGATGGGGGGAACAGAACTAAACTAGAGGTAGAGAAGTATCACTGAGCTCTTCGGCCACCGAGACCGAAACACTGCCCGGCGGCGATAATAATGTCTCGATTACAAAATAGTTCGAGGGACTGCAGCTTTCCATACATAAATCCCCCATTCCCATCTTCCTAGAATTTGAAACATTAATACAAGGAAAAGAAAGAAATCCAGTTCATATATTGGGAGTCCTCGAGATCCTCGGTAGCACATCGAGGTAACCTAACTCGAAATAGTATTCTTGCATTTTACCTGTCCCCAGATTGCTCTGCAATTCCTTCTGGCAAAGATGAGATCAATACCGAGTTGAAAACGGATCAAGTAGGATGATCATGTGGTGTATTCGAAAGGCTGGGGTGGCTGAGGCTCCTCATCTACGGCCATGGCTGATCCTGAACCTTGCTGCCCAGTTGCCGAGCCACTGGCAGGCGATGCTGTGGATGATGGTGTGTCTGTTAGAGAGAGGACCTCGGGTTCGGAAGGTTGCAAGTCTCTCAGTAGAACAAAACCGGAAGGTGCCAACTTCACTGGCACATATCTGCTTTCCTCCAAAAATTTGATGAACTTTTCTTGAGCAGGAACCACTCTGGCTGGGTTGGTCAGAATTTCAAAAGATGGCTCAGGTTCTGTTTTCTTCTCGGGTGGGTTGTCAACCTGCCATGGTATGCCGAAGAACACATTATTACAATCGAATCCACCGTTAGGAAACAAATTCAACACACAACTCATATCGTCATAGTCCCTTTACAATAAAGATCTAAGAAATGCAGGGCTACATGCATCGAGAACGTGGTATGCAACATAGACGATAGACCTAAATACGATACCTACTATCACGGGTCGTTCTAAACATAAAAAAGCAGCAGGAGATAACAGCATCAAGTGAAATGTACCTGCATAGATTCTCCATCCTTCTCACTGGATGATTTTCCTTTGGCCGGATTAGAACCTGCAGAAGAAGATTCCGCCACAGCTGATTTTTCAGCATTGCTCTTCTGTTCAGCTTCTTTCTTAGCCCTGGCTTTAGCCTTGGCTGAAGTCGACAAAACCGCAGTTGGAAGTTTCACAGCAGACGTGGCAGTGGGCACGGTGGTTGGTTTAGGATACTCAAATAGTGACGGTTTTGCATGCGACAGGAATTCAAATTTCGGAACTTTCAAGTCATAATTCAGTCCTATAAATGCCGTAGGCGAGAACGCCAAGCTGATGAAGTAGATGAGGGGATACCAATACCAAAACTGGCTGAAAACAGCAAGACCAACAACGGCAGTGATTTTGTCATGTTTGGTCTTAGACAACAACCTTATGGTAACATTCCTCCCACCAGCATCTAAAATTCCTGATGCCAAGATTGCTCCCATCTTGCTCATGGTGTCTTCATGCTTGTCCAGAATTATTTTCTCCAATTGTCGCCTAAAATAAGGGGTTATAAATTTTTTTGGGAAAAAAACAAGTTGAGAAAATGGATATGGAGGAAATTAAAAATAAAAGGTGATACCTGAATGCTCCAACACGGGAATCACTGGCTTCGCTAATCTGAACCATGACCATAGCCATTGCAATAAGTGCGCCTTGTCGAACAAAATCTACAACATCCGATGTCAGGGGCTCCAGCAGGGATATAGCCTCACTCAGGCCAGTACCCGCGCAAGATATGCCCACTGCAAGAGCGGCACCGTATCGAACATGTGGGTTGTAAGATTCAGACAGCAAGGAGACAATTCGAGGCGTCTGTGGATTGATAACAAAGTGAGATCAGAATTTCTAAAGTATAAGAGATGAAGAGACCGTTAAGCTGAGGGAACTCGCAATTAAGAATTGATAAACCACTTACCTGCTCAGGCTCTGAATAGAGGACAAACCCAAGGGCAAGAACAGCCGTCCTCCGAACATCATCACTCACATCGGATACAGCAAAATGAAGCAACTGCCGGATTGCCTTGTTGTTTGCTGTACCTCGGTATGCCAATGCTAATGCATACATGCCACCATAACGTATTATAGGGTCTTGATCTCGAGTCATCTGCTCAATTAAGGTATCTGCTTCTTCTTCTCTTCCATAAACTGTGAGGGCTATCCCCAACGCTAGGCCCCTGAGTAATAGTATAAAATAAGAAAACAACAAAACAGATATATAGGATGCTACACCAGTTTTAATCCAGATAACGGAACCCTAATTACCGGATGATTTTCTCGTGCTGTGTCTCATGTGCATAGGCAAGCATCTCACTAGCTTTCTCACTAGCTGTACCAACCATAAGTAAGCCCATACTAATGCCAGCAGCTTCACCAGCAACTGCACTGTCCGTGTATAGCACACTCTTGATGTCATCATAAATCTCTTCGTCAGCAGTTCCTAGAGTTGCCAAACCAAGACCCAAGCAAGCACCATGTTGTATAACCTGAATCCAAATAACCAAAATTTAACCATCCAATTTAAAATTCATTCTATTCTTTCAATTTAGACGATTGTTCCACAATTGAATAATACTAGGATATAATGATTATGAGAAAGACACTATGGTGAAATCGGTAGACACACTGCTCTTAGGAAGCAGTGCTAGAACATATTGGTTTGAGTCCAAGAGTTGGCATGAAATTTTTTAAGGGATTATGGGACAAAAAAATAGTTCACACGGTTTTAGACTTGGTGCAACCCAAGGGCATCATTCTATTTGGTTTGTACACCCCAAGAATAATTTATAAGCATGTGTACCTCTACATTAGTACTGCGTAGGCTATCTCGAAGGAACTGTTTGATGCCTTCCCCGTGGTTGGCATGAATAAGACCTAGAGCATAAAGGGCACCACCTTCTGAGTAAGGACTGCCACCGCCACCAGCCCCACCTTGTGGCAAGTATGGTGCCATAAGAGATCTTCCCTGCTGTAGATGGCCTCTGTGAATAACACCAAGCCCGGCTGTGGCACTAAATTTAGCCCAGTTTGTGGCCCTGCTCAACCAGTCCTAGAGAAATAGAAGACATGCACGACACATAAATATCAACAAATAATACATCAATGCCACAATGGACCAAAATGCAATCAAGATCAGGCTCACCAAATTCTCACGGAGAAATGTATCCACAGTTGTTCCAGCATGCATGATTGCATTAGCATAAATTGTAGCACTATGACAGACACTATTTCTCATCTCCACAGATTGCTTTATTGTCTTCAAAATGAGAAGATCCGATCTATTGATAATTAAGGTAAAACAGAATGAGTAACCAGCTCCTTATACTTCAACCCTGTAAATTTAATTTAAAAAGAAAGGCTTCAGAAAGAAAAACTATTACTTGTTGTGACTGTATAAGAATTGTAGGGTCAAGTGTATTGATGTTTCTCCTGATAGAATTCCCTTGATTTTCGTGTATCTCTCAGCATACACTGCCTCCTTTGGATCTACTTCTTGTACATTCAAATTAGGGGCAGTACTTCCCTCAGTCATTTGAGCATCCTCAGGAACGGGAGAACTCTCATTTTGAGCACTAGCAGACTCCAGGCTCGGACTTGGCTGTGCTGCCGTCGCTGAAGGTTCAGGCTTGGGGTTTGAAAGTCGATCCCTCACATTCAGTAAAAATGCCTGGTGCTCATTCTCTATGAGATCAAAGGCTATTTGAAATGCTAGAAGAGCATCGTCCTTGTTTTCAGATCGAAGAAGCTTTTCCAATATGCTTGCAACACCTTCAGGTTCATCCAAGAACATAAGACACTGACAAATACTCAAATAATCTGGAGAGGGCAGCTTCTGGTATACTTTGACGAGAAGACGAAGAACCTATAGTAATAATGAAACAAGAAAGATAAAAATCAACGTCCACATTCTCATCCATAATGTGACTTCTTTTCTCTATAGTGAATGGATTAACATCATAAGGTCTCTTGAAGACAGAAACAGTTGAACCTCCAAATTCAACATGTGTTTAGACCAAATTTGACAAATTATTTTAAATTCTATATTTATAACTTATACCTGATATCAATGTTATACACATAAATGTTCCAATAAAGAAAGAGGTAGGTGAAATAATCATAGTGATCAGGTTTTGAACCATTCCATATTAACAGTTATCATTACATGGTTGAATTGTAAGGTAACGAGCGGGAAGAGGTGAACGTTATAGCATTCCTAGATGAAACTCACTAAGCCGCAGATCACTTTGCAGCCAAAAATAATTAAGATAAGAAAGAACAAAATAGCTTATTTAGAGAATCTGTAAATTCTATCTTGACATCTTGGTCTCATTTTACAGCCAATTTAATAATAAATCTTTACTTACAGGCACATAAACTTAATTATGAAACAAATGAATCCACCATTGTTATTCAATATAATAGTCAATTTTAGCTGTCCAACTCTGGCATAGATGCAAAAAATGATACAATGGGAAGACAATGTAAACACTTCTAGGCTTGCTAATGAGCAAGGAGATTAAATATCTCACCTCATGTCTATATTCTCTAAGGTTAACAAATGAGTGTGAAACGTTTATGCAGTAGGATAGAGTTCCATGAACGTTATCACTCTTTGTGATTGCCTCCTCTAATTTGTCCAATCTTCGGCACTCAATTGCAATGCCCATAGCTTGTTGGTATTTCCCATCCGTGATACACCTAAATGTACACATGGTGAGTTAAGCAAAGGGTAGTAAAGAGTTGCATCATGCTAGAAAGAGAGTGACCCACATACTTATTAAGCATTCTCTCCACAATTGCCTCCAACCTAGGATCAACCATTGTCCCGTCTACGTTTGCTTCTGCTGCCTTTGACTTGAGACTAGCATATTCATCTATAGCTTTAGCTGAGAATTCAAGTAAAGAAACATCAATATCAACTTATCAAGTTGTTCGCTTTATCTAAGCATCTTAAGTTCCCTTCATTATTGTTAATTATTTCATGTATAATCATAATTTATTAACAAAATACCGATAACAAGCTTATTTGACATTCTTATGACTCATCTTGAGCCACTACCATAATTTCTAAAGCAAATCTATATATCTAAGTTATAATATCTTAACACACTCATACCTATAGTTGATGAAGATAGCTATTATACTTACCGAGAAGAGTATGAACGTAATCAGAATCCTCAGAAACATCAAAAAGTGAACCAGCTCCAAGCGCATAAGATAGGGAGTCGTTAAGTTCACCCAAGTAATAGAAGACCTAAGAGTGAAAAATGGGGTTAACATTACCAATGTATGGAAAGAAAACAAAAAAAAAAAAAGAAACAAATTTATGGATCCTCTTCTGAAAGTTATCAACTATCATGGTAGTGCTTTTTCAAGAGATTTCAAAATAACACAATCTAACATGGATCTTCACGACTTTTTATCACAGGGTGAGGGTACAGATAATCACGATAGAGAAGGAAGAGAAACAAACAATCTGTATACAAGAAAAGCCAAAAAAGAAAGCTCTCATTTACCTTTGAAACAAGTAGCGCTGCTAGTTGTCTCTGATGCTGATCGAATTCCTCATCTTCATATAAGCTTTCACTGAAAAGGAGTGAGACATATTTTTATAAACAGAACTACAGTATGCGCTATTATATCACCCACAACATATCTTAAAAGCCAGTAGCATATAGAACTACAGCATGCGTTCTTATATCACCCACAACATATCTTAAAAGCCAGTAGCATATAGGTAAGTGAAATTAGTGAAAAAAAAAGTAGCATACAAGTAAAAGTGAAATTGGTGAGTCCAACGACAAGCATGGTAGCATTTGATAACCATTTTGAAGTCTAAAAGCTAAACCAATACAACAGCAATGGACACAAAGGGCAAAGGCACGACATTTGGGTTATCCTCAAATTGCACATAACAACATTAGTAATAGAAATAATGAAAAATAGTTTGAATTGATTGTGAATAAAATCTAAACAGCGAATTCCAGACACTGATTCATCAACTAGAACAATGGTCATAGAATCATAACCAACAAAAAGAGACTCCAATTCCATCCAATGCCATCAACAAATATAAAGCTCGCCTAAACTGGGCACTTCAAAACCTTATAGAGGAAAAGGTGAAAAGCTAACTAAACTAAACTAGTAAGCTGAATTAGAAGGGCATGGTTGAAGCATGCTTCCACTTAACTCCAATCCATGTCTAACCCCCAACATTCAGCAATGGTACCGATGTCAGGTTGTGTTTCTCCAAAATGAAAAACTTTGGCACTCCAAATTACAAATACTCGGACCCAATAAAAGAACCCGTCGAAACATCAAGTAACGCCCGCTATAATTCGTTAGTTTAAGCAATTCCCATTATAAATCCGCACCGAAAAAGAAACAATCCACTCTCTCCCTCGCTAATTAAGATCCCCGCCCACCCTGAAAACTAAAAATAACACCACCCAAGAACACAAACCAAGAAACCCACAAATTAAAAGGCAAAATTTCATCCAAGAACACAAAGAAAACAAACCAAAAATAGAGATAAAGCAATTTCGT